TTCGGAGGCTTCTAAATTAAAGTTGGGGAAAGTATATTCATTATAAAGGTCCGTAATGATTGAGAACATACTATATATTTTATCTGACCCGATAAAATAAAATTTAATTAAAACAGTCCGAGATATACAACTTTCGGGGCCGAATGTGCAATTCGGGACACATTGGGATGACTTCCCACATGAGTGGGGGCCACCCCACGTTTTTGTGTGCTGGGCATTTGATTTGGGGGCTTTGGAGCATGCGATGGATGTAAGAACAGATGGGTGAGACATGGTTGACAACCAAAGGGACCCTCCCAACACTCATTGGCACAATTGAGACAAAACAACTCCCAACCCTTTCCTCCTAGGAATTATTTCGGCCCAAGCACAAGGAAATGAGAGAATAAGCTCTGCAGCACCATCACTGCATAGCCAAATTCGAGCTCAGGAAGACAAGGTCCAAGAAAGAAGATTAAAGAGGGAAAGAGTAGAAGCTTGGATAATTAAGGTAATGACTCCATAGTAACTTTTTCTCCTCTCTTTGAACTTCATATGACTTTTATATCATATGAAGTACCCCTATTATAGTTCTACATGTTATAATGTAGGAAGAGGGGTTGGAAGGTGGTTCTAATGTCCAAGAATGGACTAATAAGCCAAAGGGGCCGGTTCGCCGGAAAATAACCCTTTAGAGGTTATTTGTATTGATATGGGTTTTGTGATGATAAAACCTTGTTAGGCACTTGTCAAAGGTGATTTAAGAGCTTTCACGAAGTTTAAAGAGTCGTCGGAGTTATCGTCGGAGTTCGTCAAAGTTCGCCGGAGTTTCGCCGGAGTTCAACCGAGAAGGGTAGAACTTCATCACGCTCATTCGAGGTGAGTGAGCGGCTTAATGTCTTATAACTCTTGGGTTAAGTACGAGATTACCTAAGTAAATGTTATATGTGTTCATTTTGATGTTTAAAAGATGCTTAAACATGTGATTAGCCAAAGTGATTAGGCTTATATGGAATGAACCATTACTATCATAAATGATGTATGATATGAAAATGTTTATAAAAACTTATATGATGTTTTAAAGGATAAAAATGGTATAAAATGCTTGGTTATAACTTAATACACGTTGGGATTAAGTTTGACGCAAATCGGGTTTGAAATGGCGAGTCAACGAAAATGTTGACTAGGTTGCCCAGGGGGTAACCGACGCCGGTTATAGGCAAAACCGGCGCCGGTTACGATTCGGCAAGGCTGGTTTAATTAATTTAATTAATAACCGGCGCCGGTTATGTCAAAATCAACGCCAGTTTGGTGCTGTTTTGCCTATATATTGATTTTTAAAGCATGAATTGCATGGATGATTATGCTTAGGCCTTAAGACTTGGTTTAGTCTTGATTATTGATTATGATATAGACCTTATCTAGGATGATATGTGGTATAGTAGATCATAAGTCGGGTGGAGTACCCAAGGATCGGGCGTGTATCCTCAAAACTCGGTTATAGGGTGGAGTACCCAAGGATCAGGTGTGTATCCTCAAGACTCGGTTATAGGGTGGAGTACCCAAGGATCGGGCGTGTATCCTCAAAACTCGGTTATAGGGTGGAGACGTGGAGTACCCAAGGATCGGGCGTGTATCCTCAAAACTCAATTATAGGGTGGAGTACCCAAGGATCGGGCGTGTATCCTCAAAACTCGGTTATAGGGTGGAATACCTAAGGATCGGGCGGTTATCCTCAAAACTCGGTTATATAGGGTGGAGTACCCAAGGATCGGGCGTGTATCCTCAAAACTCATAGGTTACTATTAAATTACTATTCGTAGTTTAGGACCAGGCGGTGTCCTCAAGTTAAGATGATTTGAACCAGGAGGAGTTCTATACACTCATAGGTATATGAGTGGGTTTGGGTTTAAGTCAAGAATATTGACTATACTATCTTACCAAATAAACAATGACCTACGGGTCGGGTATTTCTAAGTGTGTATATATTGATATGTATTTTATAACTTGGGGGAAAGAACTATACGTATATGTATCACCCTATGTTTGGGTCTTATACTTGAAACGTTAGTTATTCTACATTTAGCCTGCTACTCGCTCGGTACTTGTACTGACCCCCTTCGGGGGGCCCACCATTTCAGGTTGAAGCTCAAGCTTGCTATTCTCACCTTGCTCGGTGAAGTGATCTAAAGGGAGACGTGGTTCGTGCTTCCTTTACTGTTTTAAACTATAAACTATGCTCATGGATATTTTGTAATAAGTACATTTGTTTTGGGCCTGCAAATCCACGTTTTGGCCATGTGTGGCATATGATTGAATATTGAATATTTCCGCTATTCCTTCAATCCAAATACGTGATGTTGTTATGTATGTTTACTTACTGAGTATGGTATGGACTATGTTCATCGACGCCCTGCATGATTAAGTTATGTTGACTTGCGAGTGACGTCATTTAGTCATACGGCGGTTGTACATGTGCTTAGATGCGGTCTGGGGCATGACACTTCGTCCTAGGGTTTTGGTGCGGCGGCCTTCATCGTCAGCAAGGCTTCGTTCGCGTTTTAGTTTTCGTTCGTAGCAGTCAACTATTCGCAGCAGAGATCCGTTCCTCGCTGGATCTAGGTTTGATTTTGTGCGGCGGGGTTTTGGGTTTTGGTGGTGTCTATCCTAGTTTGGTGGCATAAGAGAGAGACAAGTTAGTTGCTTGAGTTTTGGGGTTGCAGGAAGCAATCATTTGGACCTGCATACAATTGGACATGTTGTTGGGAAGCAAACTAGTTGTTGTGGCTGCTGGGATTTTGTGGTGATGTCAATCGAGATCATAGAGTTCGGAGGAGGCTGCGGAACTGCGTCCGCTAAGGTTGCGAGGCTTGACTTTCCGACGCTTGGTTTGGTTATTTTGGCTTCGTTGGTCATTGAGATGGAAGTTGTACCAACTGTATTTGATCTAGGTGGAACAATGGTGGATCGGGGTTTGGTGAAAGGGGCAAATTTGGATTCCAATCGGCTGGGTGGGCGATCAACGCGGTTGTTTTGGCCGAATCGGTGGGTGACCGTCTGGGTTTGTTTGCTCAATATGAAGGGCGGTGATTAGCTTGCGATGAATAGAAGGCTGATCTGGAACGGAGAACTTCAGATTCGGGTGATGGAGAAAAAAGACGAAGAGTTGATGATTCGTCCCCCTCCTGAACCGCCGCCATGGAGGAATCTGATGGCTAGGGTCTGGAAGAGAGTTTTACTAGTTAAATTTTATTATTTTCAGTCCAGTCTATTTTACTATTTCTATTTTGGTATTTTTTTGATAAACAATAAGGGGGGTAGATTGTTGTTTTTGTTTGTCTTAGTGGATAGTTTTCTGCATGGAGGCAATCAGGCTGATTCAGCCGTTAATAGCCTCGAAGCTCTCACATTTTCAGCGATTAGTCTCGCTCTTTATGGAATGGACTATTCTATGTCTGATATTGGGGTGAAAGGACCGATGGGCTTTTATCAGTTTTGTTTAGAGGGGTTACTTTATTGTTTGCAATTTACATGATTGTACTGCGAGTTTGAATTTAATATAATATGCTAGTTTCCTGTCAAAAAAAATGAAGATGGTGGCGGCGACAACATGCCAGCTGTATAACACGATTGGTAGCGATCAATTTATTTTTCCTTAGATTGGGTTAAAATAAGTGTTATTGAACGAAGAAAGGTTGTATGCTTTAGACTTTTAGTAGCCAATTTTTATCTAGAAAGTCGGTTGAATTAATATACAAAAAATTCTCACGTCAAATGGTAGGTAATAATTGAAACATAAACATGTCAAGTTGTGCAATAAAAAATAAAAAATAAGGATGCCCCATATTTAGAAACGAAAAATGATCTCACTTTTATAACTAAACGGTAATATATTAAAGTTACATCCATGAGTAAAAAATCTTTTATACGCAGCCTAACTTATTTGTCTAGCTCTTTAACACCACTTATAGTAGAGATGGCAATTTAACGATCCGTTACCCGCCCCGTAACTGCTCTGTTTAGTTCGGATACAATTACCTGCACTATTACCTGGTCCATAATGTCATTTTATATTTTTTAAATAATTTCATCAATAAAATGAGTTTTTTTCCGCAAAAAAAATATGTAAATACCTCATATATTAGGTATATACCATATAATTTGTAAAATATACGAGGTATCGTTTGTGTAGTTGCTCTAATTTTCTATGTAAAAGATTACTTCAGTTTCCCTTTAACTTTAGTTTTGATTAGTTTGTGTAGTTGTTGTAATTTTCTATGTAAATGATTTAAGAGTATAAAAGTTATAAAGTGTTGCTCTATTTTTCTTTTTGTACATGTGTAGTACTCTAAATGTTATAATTAATTTGTAATTACATTTTAACTTCATTGTTGTGATAGGATTTGATTTAATTTTATTTGATGTGCTTACCAAAAAATAGTGATCAATAGATAATTAAGTTATTGTTTGTTAGTGATATTATTTTAGAAAAACAAATTTCTTTTTAAATAATGTGGTTATCCGCGGGGAAAACCGTTCCCCGTTCCAACAGAGTACAGTTCGGGTAAAAAATTACTCGGCGGGGAACGGGGCGGGTAAGGGGATTATAAACCAAAGAATGGGGTGGGTATGGATATGGGTATACCGGTCCAGAACCGCCCCGTTGCCATCTGAGTTTTTTTCCGAATTAATGTCAATTAATTAAATATTTACGGGAATGATGCTGAGTTAAAAGTATTTACCAATATACTGCTGGGCTTAACCTTGGTCGGGGAAAGTCGCCAAACCGTTTGGCGACTTATGGTCGGGGAAAGTCGCCAAACCGTTTGGCGACTATCCCCCTGGACCTGCAAAACCAGAAACTTCAGAAAACAGATGAAAACATAACACATTTTGACAAAACCTGGTCACAAACACAGATAAAAAACAAAAGCCTAATAAAATCAACACATTTTCATAACCCAACACATAAACACATTAAAAAACAAATGATTAAGTAACTAAAATTCAATACTTTACAGGTGGACATACGTCATAAAGTAAAGTGTTTCACAGATTAAAAAAATTACAACATTCGGGGTACATGAACAAGTCCAATAATGGAGACAAACTACAAGTTTTGAAGGTCTTCTTGGTCGTCCTAGTCATGGAGGTGTGGCTGTTGACGTATACGCCTACGCCGCTGACGCGACTGAAGAACAACTCTGTCACGCTGAGTCTAAGATGTAGAAGTTGTTGCTACTGTAGATGTCGATGGCGTAGAATCCTGAGAGGGGGTCATATGTATAAGATGGCCATAGTCCACTAAGCCCAACACATGCGAACACAAGGAAGCAATGTTCGTCAGAATCTAATCGTGCATGTCCACGTCATGCGTCTCACTGACTGTGGCAGTCGCTCGTTCATGTATATGCTGCAAAGCCCGTGTCTGAAATGTGAAAAATGAAATATAATTATTTTGAAATAAACAAAAAATGTTAAATACAGAACATGAATTACTTTAATAATTATGAGCACACTCACCGTCAAGTGCAAAGCCATGGAACTAGGCTGATAATGGTGAGTAGGGAGTCAGAAAGATGGAGAGACAAACACCCGCATGATGCTATAATACCATCTCATATAGCATGCAGAAACAGATGGGACAAATGTCGGCGTCCCAGTCACAACAAGCTCTGCTCGCCTATCCCATATAGCCACATATCGGGCATGTCTAAGCGACCAATCCTCTATAGGCTCCCCACGCCTATCCAACTTATGAAGATCTACAAATGTGTCGACAGGTGCTGGAATGACCTGCTCATAGCCAAACTGCCGCATAACACGATCAGGCAAATGAAGCTCAACAATGTCAAAGCATATCAACAGCACAAGTGCTCTCCATATAGCCCTCGGCCTATATCAAATGCAGTGACTGTGTGGTGTTTGGCCTTGTCCTTATTCTTGTCAATGATGTCTGTTATGTATGGGGAGTAGTTGTGGCCTTCTGTCACTCTCCTTTTACTACTTTCACGTCTAGCCACAAAAAAGGAAATTTGTACCAAAGTTGTGATGGGCAAGTATGAGACTCTTTTCATCACACTGTTGAACACCTCAGCCATATTAGAAGTTGTGGTACCATATTTGTACCCTCATCATGGTGTAATGACCACATTTGCAGAGGAATGTTCCTCAGAAACTGTCTCGCCTCCACCCGCATTTCCCCTATCTTGTTGAACCCACCATCAAACTTTTTTTTCTAACGATGTCATGCAGTCCAAACAAACAAATTCTTCAAGTGAATGTCTTTGAAATGGATGTGCACATTCGATGCAAGATGGCGCATACATAGCCTATGGTGCGCAAAGGGCTCCTCCCAACTACTCCCCACCTCCATCATAGCCTTTATAACACCTGCATGTCGATCAGAAATGACACATAATTCCCTTTTTGTTACAAACTCCCTAATGCATGCCATAAATCATGGTCAATTATCATCATTCTCTGATTCACATACTATAAAGTCCACGGGAAAGAGTTGGTTGTTTGCATCGCTACCCATAGCCACGAGTAATGTACCTTATATTTCCCATACAGGTGTGTGTCATCAATAGTCAAAACAGGTCGACAATGCTTAAAATCATGAATAGAAGGCTTGAAAGCCCAAAAGACTCTATGAAAATGGACACACTCAGTTGGACCTGTAAGGGGTGGGTACCAGTGCACAATTGCCTTCAGATTGGAATGCTGGAGTGCTGCCATGAAATAGGGCAATTCAGAATAGGACTTCTCCCAACCTCCAAAAATTTCATCAATGGCCTTTTGTTTACCCAACCATGTGCATTTGTACGAAACCGTATAACCATACTTTTCCTTCAGCAACTCAATAATAGTATGGACCTTAAGGGATGGATCAGTGCGAATAAGGTCAATAACATCTCGGGCAATAAAATCAGAAGTAATCGCCACATGATCATCACGGTCGTTGTTGCCAACACAAGTATCGGAATGAGGTCCAGGATAACGCACAACTATGAACATGTCGAGGTTTGCATGTTTCTTGGTGGCCCGTATTCTCCAAGTTCAATCACGTCCCTTCTTTCTCTTTCACTCTACAACCCATTTATGTTTATCTGACTCCAGGACACGATAAAACTGGTTGCGTTTGATAGAATACAAGCTCACCATATTGATTAGTTGTTCTTTGTTGTCAAATTGTTAACCAACCGCAAACTCACCGTCTCGTGTAAACCTGTTCACACATGTTCCACTGCTGCACGCATCATCAAAGCCGGATGGGAGATCATATACTCTAGCGTAGTGGCTAGACGAAGTAGTTGCGGTCACAGTATCGTCATCATCTTCATCAGATTCTGTCATTTCATCATCATTGATGTTATCATCAGCATCATCATCAGTTCCCTGGCCATCCAAAAAGGATGCACCATTGTGCAAATACCTCCCATCTTCCTCTACAACCATGTCTAGAATAACAGCATTTGAGGAGGCCTTTGCTTTGACACTATGCCTAGATACAACAACATTTGAAGTTGAGGGAGTTATAAAAGCGTCACCTATGGATTCTGCAAGGTAAATCTCCATTGTGGACATATTCATCATCTGAAGTATCATCCACATTTCCGTGCCAACTTCCTCATCATCAAGTGGCATAATCATGTATGATCCCCCGTGAAGGAGATATTTCACTTTCAATTGCAAAGAACGGGTCGGAGGAATCTGTGTAGTTACATGGATTTTTTGCAGCATCTCAAGCAAACATGCGCCACGAGAAACAATTACAATCCTTCTGCTACCACCTTCATAGCGTATTTGCCCTGCTTCCTCAAATAGTTCCCTCCCCAATGACACACGATTGAGAAGTTGGAGAAATCCATATTCTAATAACAATACATGTCCATATTTGATGAGTACACATTAATAAACACACTTTATACACCCAAATTAATCATTTCATACACATAACAACATATTAAAAAACTCTCATATTTAAGCAAATCCTATAGGATAAGTATACACCTAACAATGGCAAAATATTACATAAAAAGAAAATCAAAATTTTGTATTAAAATTCACATTAATAATACACAACAAATCCACAACAAAATCAAAATATTACATTTAATTCAACATTAAAACTCAACATGTCATACATATCCACGTTTCACAACAAATCAATTCATAATCTAAAAATTCAAAATTTTTACATTCTAAACCCTAAATTAAATATGAGATGAAATGAAGTTTGATTTACCTAGAAGAAAGAGTGTTGAAGAAGATGGAGATGGAGAATCTTTGGCAAGGTGGCGTCGCCGGAGAGGAGCTCGAAGAATCGCCGGTTGGTTGGCCGCTGAATAACCGGACTGTTTTTGTTTTGTTTTGTTTTGTTTTGGGGGAATCTGCGTTCTGTCTGCAGATAGTTGGGCGACCCGTCTGTTTTAAAGACAAAGTCGCCAAACCGTTTGGCGACTTATAAGTCGCCACACCGGTTGGCGACTTATAAGTCGCCCAACTGTTTGGCGACTTTGTCTCTAACCCGGGTTAGGCCCAGCAGTATATCCGTAAATACTTTTAACCCGGTAGCAATTACGTAAATATTTAATTAAATTGCATTATTTGGGAAAAAATCTCTTGCCATCCCTAACTTTTAGTATCACGATATGCTTGCTACATATGTAATTAATAAACCTTTGAGATATCTGAAATATCCTAAATATTCTAAAAAAATTTGAAGAATATATCTACGGAGAAGAATATTGCAATGAACTAATTATTGAAAGAATAAGGGCTATTTACCTCACGCTTCTTCAAAGTTTGGGATTAATAGTTTGTACGGTAAAAAGAATGATCCTAAACTGCACAAATTAATAAAACTATTTTTTTATAAATAAAATAGTGATGGCATATGAAAGATACTAAAAAAGACATGAATTTTGATATACTTTTAGTTACAATCGGAGTACAAATAAAAAAATTATACGTAGTACCACTTTAAAAAGAACAATCCAGCTTGAGGACACATTTTCATACACACACCTACACACTCATGTTTGTGAAGAGTATTTTTTTTGTCTGTATACAGACATAACACATTTTCAAATATGTTATGTCTGTATACATACAAAAAAATACTCTTCACAAACATGAGTTTGTAGGTGTGTGTATGAAAAATGTGTACCAATAGATTTTTTGAAAAAAGAAAATGTTTTTTAAAATGTTGAATTATTTTTTTATGTTATATATTCATTATTGGTGTCATATGTAAGATAATAAAAAGTTACTATTTTTTATATATTTTCTGTAACAATCGGAGTACAAATAAAAAAGTTACATGAATTTAAAAACACAAATTCCTTTCAAAGTGTTAAATTATTTTTTATTTTTGTATATTCAATATTGGTGTCAATTGGACGATAATAAACAAATTAGAAATGTTGATATATTTTTTGTAGCAATTAAAGTACAAATAAAAAAGTTATATCAGATTAAAAACACAAAATGTCTTTTAAAGTGTTAAATTATTTTTTTATTTATATATATTCAATATTGATGTCATTTGAAAGGTAATTAAAAAAAATGAATTTTGATATTTTTTTTAGCAATCGGTGTACAAATAAAAAATAAAATACTTTTAAAAAATAAGATTTTATTTTGATGAGATTCCTAAAAAATAGGAGTTAGTGTTTTAGTTGAGTAGTAATTGATGAGTTGAATTCCTATATGGAATACCGAATGGATTCCTTTAATTAGAAAGGGATTCAAAGCAATAATTCTAGAGATGACATGTGACAATGGTTTCTCTAATTGAAACCTTGAAATGTATTATTTTAATAGATTAGTTCATTTCTATTATTTTGTTAGATTAGAATTTAAATCTTTGAAATTATTAATTTTAGTATTTATAGGAGTGCTTAATTACTAATCATGACTTTTGTTGTGTTACATAGACTTATTAGTATACTTATTTCTTTTCAGTTAATAACTTATTTAATTGTAGATTTAAGAAAATGCTTTAATTTTCACATTTATATTCATTAGTATAATTTTGAAATGAAATATATTTGACCGGATTAATAACGTTAACTAAACACTTTAAAATAAAAATGCCGCCTTCATCTAAAATGGTGGAGGTGCTAGAGAAAGTTCATCAGTTAAACTATTATTGTATCTAATAGTACAGCTTCACTAAAAATGTTTATGAGAAATTGATTTGAATTTGTTCGTTACTTGAAGAAACTGATTTGGTCAATGTGAGAGTTTGTTGGAATGTAGTGCAAAAGAGAACAAGACATTTTGTTTGTTTCTTATTTGTTATTTCGAAAAAAATGTGTTTCATGCATATTGAAATGAAGTTGTAATGGATTATTTTTCAAATAATAAAGCTTGGAGAGAGCCGTTGTTATAAAATGTACTCCCTTAGTCCCAATTTTATCTCTCTTTTCTTTTTTGCCCATCCTAATATAAACCCTTCTTTCCTTTTTTGACAAAAAACTATGGGTCTCAATATTTGCCCGTTTTTCTCTCTTCTCTGCACAACTTAAGGCCACATATTTTCTACTTTCGTAATCCGTGTGCAAAGTCAATATCGGGATGGAGGGAGTAATACTTTATAGTGTGCTAATGTTGGATTATTTCATCATTTGAACTTAATTTATACCTAATTATTGAAGATTTCTTACTCTCCCTGTCTAAAGGAAAAAGGTCTTTTTAAAACAACCATATATAATCTTTGGAAAAAAACTAAATCTACTATTAGCGTTTCACAAAGCTTTCTTTACATCTACCGTTTCTGTGTGAGTATGAAGAAGGGGAAGAGTTTGACATTCTCAGCTATTGGAAGGACAAAGAAACAATATTTATGATTTTATCAACAATGTCGAAGCAAGTCCTATCCATGCCGATTTTAACGGTTGTTGTCGGACAAATGTTTAGTGAAACCAGCAACATCCTGACCGATTATAAAACGAGGTTGAATGCGGAATCTTTTGATACTCGTATGTTTCCACAATTGATTGAAGACATGCCAACAAACTCAAGAACTAAATATAGCTCCAACTCACCACCTCATGGAGGAAACCACAACAGATCACAAAAATAGGAGTTCCAAAACCTATGAGATATATGCAACGCTTCTCTATTGTTGCTTAATTTTGTATAACAAATACTTATTTACACACATAATTATATCTGATAATGTGTTATATATATTTTAATTCTTTCTTTATTTTATTAATAAAATATAATCTTAGATATAATCTTTTAATGATTCAACAAATTCAATTAATTCATCCGCTTTAATCATCAACTTCAGCACAAACATCAAACAGACTCAAAAAGTAGATGTGCGCTTGCCAAGCACTAGGAAGGTAGTTGAAATTCCCATTTTCAGAGCACTTGAGGAAATAAAAGAAAATCTATCTATTCTTATAAAAAAGGAAGAGAAGTTTTAGGCATAGTTTTCCCGCCCACAAGAGTCCACTTCAGTTTTTAGTTTTTTAATTCGTGAAAAGAATTATTGAAGGAACGTAATGCAGCAGTATGGGTTCGGCCGCCACTTGATTTTTGGTGGAAAAAGCCCATTCCCATTGGCCGCAGGTTGAGGTGCGAACAGCTTTAAAAGAAAAACTAGGCCTCCTATTGGTCCAAATGGTGGTGGCCGCTGTTCAAGAAAATTGTGATTTAATGTTTGCCTTGCTTGCTTTGTATTGGTGGAAAATCCAAATGGTGGTGGCCGCTGTTCAAGAAAATTGTGATTTAATGTTTGCCTTGCTTGCTTTGTATTGGTGGAAAAGGACGGTCACACAGTAAATGGCTATTCTTAGCAATCCGTACCTAAATTTTGCATTATAAAGGCAGAGCTCCACCGGCAATTTTTTTGTATCTGTTATCCCATTTGTGAATATATTTAGTTAGAATTTGTGTACAAGTAGTTGTGTGAGTTGTGATGAAATAAATATTCGACAGCCAAACACTGTATCTGCGCTCTGCTTTCTTGCCTAATCTGCTCCGGTAACGGATACGGATCCTGGAGAGCCGGGAATCGAAGTCGTCCGGCCGGTTCCGAGGTGGTTTGGGCATTTGTTTCTTCGGGAGGGAAATCTACGGAAGTTGCGCGATAAGTGAGGGTTGTGTTTATGAGGGTAAGGCGATTTGGGATCCTGAGAACGCCACCGTCTCCATTTTTCCTGTTTCTTGAGCTTGGACGATACCGAAATGAGTGGATAAGAACGTGTGTATAGATAACACCAATTGTTTTGAGTTTTTTGGCAAGGCAAATTGGTGGTAATTTATCTTAGGGTATTATCTTAATATTGTGGTGGTAATTAATGCTCACCTTTTCCTCCTCATTATTCTTGGGAGGTTGAAAAATTCATATCTAAATATGATCCATAGAAATTCTACAAGACATTTGGAAGTCCTTTTATAAACAAAAGCAATACTATACGTCCTGGTGCATGCCATGTTGAGTCTGAGGTAATTTGTAGTAGCAACTCCGCTTAGCAGCTCAAATGTTTCCCGTGCATTCATAGTAAAATCTTCTATAGAATGTGTACACATTCTATAGGCAACTAAAACGTCTTATAATGAACCAAATGACCAAGTATGAAAGGAGACATTACATACTAACTCCGTCCCAAATTGATCCCGAAAAAATCAAGTAATTACAAATAATTGATAATATGGAGTGACAGGATAAATAAAGAAAAATACTCCGTATTTGGGAGGTTCAAGTTAAAACTTCTCCTTAAAAAAGTTAAAACTTTCTCATTTTTATTTTAAGAAATACTTCGTATATAATTAACATTTTTAAAAGAAAAATTAATCATAAAGTATTAAAGATAATACATTTATAGCATCTTCAATGAGAATTTCAACTCAGGACGGAAGGTAATACTTATATTCTTAACCATGGATGTAAAATTTTCTGCCCGTGCAACACACAGGTCATTGTAAAAGTTTTTATGTATCATTTTGTTTTAATTAATACAAGGTTCTTTATTTCGGTCGTGCATCGCACGGGTGAAAATACCAGTCACCAGTGGTAGAAAGCACTAGAGATGAAAAAGGATGACTTTTTTTAATACGTTGTCAAATCATATCGATTTAACAGAGTGCTTGTGATGCTAAAGTAGAGGGAGGTAAAGTCCCAACTTGATATCTTGATCCCATGAAAGAAGCAAAAAGGGAACCTCATGTTCTAATTTTCCACCATATTATAAGCTTTTCAGTTTATAATGTTTGACTTGGGATAATGTAAACTCTCCCCTAATAGCACAAAAATTAGTCTTAGTAATTACAATTTACATATCCAGAAACTATCCTAAAAATTCATTTCCCGGTCCTGACATTTTTTGAGCCCGGGAAAATACAAACAAAGTAGGCCTCAGGGATACCGTGTAAATATTTATTACGTATAATAATCTT